AAATGGTCATGTCTGAAGTTTTTCAGTTGAGCTTATTATATTCTTAATTGCATCTTAATTATTTTATTAGGATAATAAATTTGTTTAAAGCACTGCTCATCTAAGTGAGAACTGTTCTCTAAACAAAATTACATTTTTAATCCATAATAGCAGTTCAGTAATTTTCTGATTTTCACTGATGACCGTAGCTATTTCTGGGCATAGACTGTGGGGTTCAACTAGGATCTTGAAAGAGAGACTTTAAGAAAAAAGACTAAAGCATTCTTGCCGGCACGCAATAAATTCCCGACGTTCCTGTGGCGGGGAGCACAGCCGCTGCCACAGTGCCTATGGCCATATGGGGCTCTGCACGCGGACTAACAGACTGTCATTCGCATGGATGCTCTCAACAAAGCCGGTTCTGCTAAAAATAATAATAATAATAATAACAATAAGAAATTTAAAAAGACTACAAAGAGACTATTTTTCTAGAGTTGTCCCTAATTACCTGGCTGCATATATTTGAAGAAATAATCTATCCCTCAAATAATTCCACAGCCATAAGACACAGCAACTACACACGTGCCAGGCTGGTGAAAAGGAATCACAGTGACACCACCAAACGCTGGCAGGGATGCTGAGAGACGTTGCTGGGAGGAGAGGGGAAGGCGATGGCCACCCCGGCAAAGAGGTTGGCAGTTTCTCATAAAACTAAACATGCAATTCTCAATATGACTCAGCAATCGCACTCTTGGGCATTTATCCCAGAGAAATGGAAAACTTATGTGCGCACCGAAACCTGTACACGAACAGTCACCGTGGTTTGTTTGTAATAGCCAGAAACTGGAGTTAGCCCGGGTGTCCTTCAAAGGGTGAGTGGGTAAGCAAACGTACATGTCCATGCTATGGAATACTGCTTAGTAATAGGAAGGAATGAGCCACTGATACATGTAACAACTTGCACGACTTTCTAGGGAAGTATGCCATTTCCCCAAAGATTTACATCCTGTATGCTTCCATATAGATATGAAACATTGTTGAGCTGACATCATTTAAGCAGTGGAGGACAGGTGAGTGGTTGCCAGGTCTTGGGGGTGGGGCAAAAGGTACGGTTCTACACATGGGGGATTCATGCGGTGTTGGGACTGTTCGGTATTTGTAGAGTGGTGGTGGACAGTGGAACCTACACAGGTGTTAAAACTGTGGAACTTAATAAACACACACACACATCAGTGCAGTAAAACTGGGGAAATCTGAATCTCATTGGATTGCATCAGTGTCAGTATTTTGATTGTTATATTATACTACAGTGTTGCAAATTGTAATCATTGGGAGAAACTGGGCAAGGAATATCTAGGTAGTATTTTTTTAATTTTACTTGTTTGTATTTATTTGCTTATTTATTTGTTAATCCTCTCACAAGGGTATTTTTTCCATTGCTTTTAAGAGAGATAATAGAAGGAATGGAGGGAGGAGAGAGATAAAGTGAGAGAGAAACATCGATGTAAGAGAGACTCATCGATCAGTTGCTTCCTGCATTGAGCCTGCCACTGAGGTGCATACCCTTGACTGGAATCGAACCCAGGATCCTTCAGTCCTCGGGCTGACACTCTATCCACTGAGCCAAACCAGCTAGGGCTATTTCTTACAACTGCATGTGAATCTACAATTATCTCAATAAAATTTTCAATTGAAAAAACCCAGGTAATAACCCCTACCAATGATAATGCTATTGTAAGATTTGCGTATTGCTAGTATTAAGTTTAGGTTGTAAGTTAGAGGATGATCCTAAAGGCTTCCAGACATAAAAGGATAAATAAAGGTGCTCATTAATCACAATTTTGTACATCCAATTGTTTGGAAAACAATGTTCAGATGAAGAGCAAAAAAAGCCTAGATTCTAGATCTAGAAAAAACTTAAAGGCTAATCTGACCTAGCCACTGGCCGCCGAGGCACCAGCTTGGGTAGAGCAATGTGCACTCAAGAGGCATTTGTTAGAGCCATCCACTCCCACCAGGGACGGCACGACATCCCGAACAGATTCCCCTAGTTCAGTGGTCGGCAAACTCATTAGTCAGCAGAGCCAAATATCAACAGTACAACGACTGAAATTTCTTTTGAGAGCTACATGTTTTAAACTTAAGCCTCTTCTAGCGCCACTTCTTCAAAATAGACTTGCCAGGCCGTGGTATTTTGTGGAAAAGCCACATTCAAGGAGCCAAAGAGCCGCATGTGGCTCTCGAGCTGCAGTTTGCCAACCACGGCCCTAGTCGTAGCACTGGTAGGTTTCCGCAAAGACTTAGCATGCACCTTTCACTGGTACTAGTAAGAGCCGTCATTCGTTGAGTGCCTGCTAAGTCTGTGTCCATGGTTTCATTGAAACCCATGATTTCAGATAAAGGAAGAATTTAAATAAATCCATGTTTTATTTTAAACTTTGGGTGAGAGGCATTATCTCCATTTTCACAGTGAGGCCTGGAGGATTTAACTAACTTGCCCTAGTGTGGCTGGCAATGTGACAGAGCTGGGGTGGCGTGTGGGTCTGGGTGGGTCAGAGCTGTTTTCTTTCCAGCGTACCGTCTTCAAAGGCAGCTACTGTTGTGCTGGCTCCTGAACAAACATATGGAACATCCCCAATGTCATTTGCTTGATCGTTTCCTTTAGATTAGGAATTCTTACTCTAGGAGTGATGAGACCATGTGTGTGGGAGAGAATCGATTCATGTGCCTCTCTCACACAATGTTTCTCCATCTCTCCCTCCCACTCTGTCTAAAACTCCTAAGAAAAATATCCTCCGGGGAGGATTAAAAAGAAGAAAAAAAAGATCGTATGTTTGATAAATCTGATATCTGATGAAAGGATATGAAGTTACGCCTTAAGTTTGATGTAAGGGCTGGCCCACAGCCTTAGCACAGAGTTCTAATTTCTATTAAAGGGTAGGGAGGGAGGATACCTTTGTATAAGCTGTTCCCTCTTGTTTTCAGTGCCCTTCCCCACCTCTTTGCCCAACAAACTTGAACTCTGCCTTTCTGTCCTAGATCAGGTCTTCTATGATTCTTCTCAGATCTGCCCGTATCTCTGCTCTCAGGCAGAATAGCCCTGCAGTCTATGTTCTAGCCCTCTGTACACATCTCCGTCACTGTAACATTGTCAGCTGTTCATGTCTGTTTCATCCAGGAAACTGAGCTTCCGAAATGCTGCCGCTATGATTTATTTGTGTTCCTTGCCCCTGGATGCATAGTAGGTGGCCTGTGTTGACTGCTGAATAAAACATTCACTTCCACTTAGGAAGGTCCTATTTTTGAAGGTTGTGTTGAAAGACACTGTTAGACATATCTTGTGAAATGACAACAGCAATTACTTGTTAATGAGTAAACTGAAATGGAAGTTACCAGAAGTGACCTCCTGACTTGATAATCAAGCAAAGGAAAGTACAGAAGTCTAGGCAGGTAAGAAAACAGGTTAATAGACTAAAGGTCTTTAGGTCAGGAAAACAGCTGGTTATCAGAACAGGGGTCAGAGAGATGTTTAGTCTGGTTTAGAGAGAAGATACTTAGATATAAGACTAAAGAGGAGAAATACTACCTGGACTGAGAGAAGAACGGGGATTTCTTGAGGGCGTCAGAGATTCCAAATGGATCTTTCCAGACTGCGACTCACTCACGCTTACGGAAACAGAGCTGGATTCTGGATCTACTGCTCTGCTGCTTAAACATAGCATGTATTCTTTGGTATTTGAATACTCATTGAAAGTCTGAGCTGCAAAGGGCAAGAGAGATGTCGTAGGCCGTCCTTTAGTTACAAGATTGAAGTTCAAAGAAGCCTTGAATCCAGCCCAGGAGAGACTGTTTTCACAGGTCGCGGGCTCAGGTGGGCAGGCGTGCCAAGGTGGTTTGTTCGGGACCGCCACCCCAGGGAAGGCCCACAGCTGCAGTGGGTGGCAGCAATGGCTCAGAACCGGCTTCCTTAGGACACACACGAAATAAAGGCACTGAAAGAATTAGGTGGTTGGTCAAAAACAAGTTTGATACTCAAGCTCAGCTCTCACTCTTCATTAGCATACTATTTCCTTTCTATAAAGATTAACGGGGTGAAGTTGGTTTGCTGGTCAAAGTATCAGAGGTTTTAGCTTTATCCTGTAACTCTGGGAGGAAAGAAAATACAAGCAGACGACGGGGAAACACTGGCTGTAAAACTGCTTTTTTGTCTTAAACTGCATGCGGACCGGATAGCAACACACATCTACCCCCTCCACTTGATTCTCTCCAATGTTGCTCACCTTATTGCTGTGATTCTAGCAACTTTGTTACGGGTCAATGGAGAGCAATCCTGGCAGAAAACACACCTAAGAGAGGACTTTTGTCTTTTGGGGAAGTCATCCCTTGGAATTGCATTATCTAAAGGCTCTCCACTAAAATAAGACACAAAATTAAAAAAAAAAAAAAAAAAGTGTTGCCTCTTTGTGCAAGGTGCAGGAACAGGCCAGCGCAGGGGTTCCTGTAACCCTCTCTTCAGTAACTCTCAGGAGCCCAGAGCCAGGGACCCGGAAAACCAACGCGGTTCTCCGAACCGCAGCGTCCGCCCCTGCAGGCAGGTCCCCTCGGAGGACTTGGCCTAGATCCAGGGCGACCGGGCGCGGGACCCCGGTCCCGCCCGCCCCGGGGCACCTCCGATGCCGGTGACCAGCGGCCCAGGCTCCGTGCACCCGCGGCCGTGCACTGGCCTCCGGGCGCGGGGCTGCGGGGGGAGCTCCGCTCCCGAAGCCGGATAGCCTCCCCCGGGATCCCGCGGAGGCCGCCCGCCCGCCCGCCCGCCCGCCCCGGAGGAAGCAGGAAGCCGGGCCGCGGGACAGGGACCCCGCGCGCCCGAGGCCGGACAGACAACGCCAGCGCGCGGCGCGCCCCGCCCGCCCGCCCCGACGTGCCGGCGGGAGCGCGCACGCTCGCAGGCGCGGGGGCGCACGCCGGGGCGCGCGGGCCGGGCCGGCGGCGGGAGCGCGCGCGGCTCGGGAGGCGGCGGCGGCGGCGGCGGTGGCGGCGGCGGAAGCGGCGAGGGCGGCAGGCGTCCGGCTCTGAGGTGGTGAAGGCGGCGGCGGCGGCGGCTCCGGACTGGGCTGGGCTGGGAGCGAGCTTATATCCGAGGCGCCGGGTCCAGCGCGGACCTCCTGGCTCGAGCATCCGCCCGCCGCCCGGACGCCTGGGCCGCGGAGTTGGTGTCCCGGCTCGGACCCCGGCGCCCAGCCCGGAGCCGTAACCTTGAGGCGGCGGCGGGGCCGGGCCGGGCCGGGCCGGGGGGCGGCGGCGGCGCTGGATCCCCGGCTGCCCGATCGTTGGCGGGAGATGTCGAACCCAGGGACGCGCAGGAACGGCTCCAGCATCAAGATCCGTCTGACAGGTACGGCGGGGGGAGGCCCGCGCCGCCCACTCAGCGCCCGCCCGCCCCCGCACGGCCCCCCGGCCGCCCCGGCTTCCCCGCGGAGCGCCCTGCGGGAGCGGCCCTCCCCCTCGGCGGCCGTTGTCCCAGGACCTCGGCACCCCCCTCGGCGAGTGCCCCTCGCTGCTCCCGGCCCCGCCCCCTCGCCGCCCCGGCCCCGCCCCTCCGCGTCTACCCCCCCCCCCCCTCCCAGCTGCCTGCTCACCGCCTCCTTCCCCCACCTGCCCCCTCGGTTCCCCCTCCTGGCCCCGCCCCCCCGCTTCGCCCCCCTGCCTTCATCCTTCCCGTCCCCCTGCTCCCCGCCCCGGGGTCCCCCCCGCAGCCCCCCACCCGAGCCCGCCTCCCGCTGCTCGTCCCCCTCCCTCCCCTCTCTGCCCGGTCCCCTCACCTGCCCCTCGCTCTCCCCTCCCTGCCCCGCCCCTCTCTCCCACCGCCTGCCCACCTTCTGCCTTCCCTGCCTTCCCTGCCTCCCGCTACCTGCCGGGACTCCCGCCTCTCCTTCCTGCCCGCCCCCCTCCTCGCCTCCTCCCGGGTCCCCCCTCCGGCTTCCCTCCCGCTGCCCCCTCTCTGCCCCCTCGCTCCTGTCCCCGGCCCCGCCCCTTTCTGCTCCCCTGGCCCCGCCCCCTCACTTTCTCCCCTAAGCCCCGCCCCTCATTTTCTCCCTGGCCCCGCCCCCGCTTATCTCCCAGCCCAGCCCCCTTGCTTCTGCCTCGCGGCCTCCACCCTTTCCGTCAGCCTCCAATGCCTCCGTCCTCCCTGGTAGCTAGCCTCTCCCGGGCCTGTTCTCCCCACTTCCCCTCCCGGCCAGACCTCCTCGGTCTCGTCCACTTCCTTTCTCTCCCAGGCCGGGCACTGTCTAGTTTTGACTGTGCTGCTCGCATTCTTTCCTCCTTTGCATTGAATGCACCTTACCATCGCGTACCCCCTTCTCTTCCCCATCCCTGGGGCCCAATGAGGTGTGGGTCGCCCCCTCTCCCTCACCACCTCCACCGCCACCGCACACACCACTGGCTTTGGCAGCTGCACTGCTGCAGGCTCCTTGCTCCACTCTTTTAGTCTTCAATGAGATGCCTGTGCCTCCTAGGTGGCTCTGTAGTGCCACCTTCAAGGGTGAGCGCGAAGCTCCGCCGTGGGCCTGCGACTTGGTGGCTGTGTGTGTGTGTGTGTGTGTGTGTGTGTGCGCGCGCGCGCAAATGCCAACGGTGCGTGCTGGAGGTGCCCCTCGCTAGCTAGCGGGCCCCAGAGGCCCTGGACTAGTCCGCATCCTCACCTGCCCCTTCTCTCCCTCCTCATCACTGTGGGCGGCTGCTCCTTGTCTCAGTGTATAGAGGAGGCCAGATTGTCGTGATGCCAATACCGTTCTGTTGGGGGACTTTCCAAACTCGAATATTTCCAGCTCTGAGGAGGAAGTAAAAAGTTTGGGCTGATCCCTGCAAGGGGGGTTCCCCCTGGATTTTTCTCTTCAGCGACCAGTCTGATGAGGATTTCACAGTCAGAGTTTCTTTCAAAGAGACAAGTGAGCATTTTGGGGACACTTCATGGCAGATGCATAGCCCTGAATCATTGATAAAGCTGTGAAAACCGCAATGGGTGATTGTTTTCCTTTGAAAATCCACAGTTGTTGCATGATCCATTTTTTGTTTCAAGAAGAGAGTCATCATTCTTTGTAGGTATAAAAATGCCTGATCAGGTTATGATCAGATAATATGACCAGATCAGATGATGATTTGGACCCAAACCCAGACCTTGGTTTTGTGAAGTAACCAGCACAGCCTAGGGATCTTTGCTTCTAGAGAAACAATCCTCTATTTCGGGGCTGGTAGGAAACACTTCTTACTCTGCATACATTGTTATTTTTATGATTACATAAAAGCCACCTATTTGAGTTTGTAATGCTTGTAAAACTTTAATTACTGACAACTTTAATTTGGTTTTCATTTACAAATTAAATCTATAATTGACATCAGATTGGTTTGTTTTCTTGTTAAAAACCAAAGTAACTGATTTTGTGATTTTGGGGTAGAAATGTGATTAATGTTTTAGAAGTAATAGGTTTTCGTTACAATGTTTGTGGCAGGTGTATAATATGTATTAATCTTAATAGGCAGGTCTGGGTGTGGGCTTTTTCCTTATGAAAGGGAGGGCTTGGTTTGTCCTCCCAAGTTATTTTTGGATTCAGGACTATAGATGTCATGGATGTAGAAAGAGTTTTTATATTCATTTGATAGTGAAGGATCAGATGATGAGTGTTTTTTCCAAAACACCTTTTCCCAGTGACGTTATTAATGACACGACAGAGTGTGGTTATTGCTGCAGCCGGATTGAGAGTTTAGGGATGATTGTGGACACACATGATGCCAGTTGTCTGCTGATGTGAATGTATGCAGAATCGTTGGAACTAGATATTTTGTTGAAGATAGACTGGGTTTTGGCCTCATCTTTAAGTTTGTCGGGAAGTTTGAATTATCTTCACTTTTAGCAAATCGGCTAGCCATCTTTCAAGAACGTATACTTTTGTTACAGGTTTTAGAGTTTATTTCCATGTGTGATACTTGAAAAAATGACTTTTAGAATGAGAGCTATTCTAACAAGTGAATACCACACAGGGTAATTCAGTGCAAAATATGAAGACATGGGTGTTATAAAAGAGCATTTACAACTTTGGGGTCTATAATTATATTTGGTGGTGAGTAGAAGATTGGATTTAGAATTAAAAGATGTGATTCTGGTCAGATCTGCCATATCTGCATGATATGGAACAAATTATGTAGCCTTTCTGGGGCTCAGTTTCCGCATATATAAAATGAGATCTTGCCGAAACCGGTTTGGCTCAGCGGTAGAGCGTCAGTCTGCGGACTGAAAGGTCCCAGGTTTGATTCCAGTTAAGGACATGTACGGTTAAGGGCATGTACATTGGTTGCGGGCACATCCCCGGTAGGGAGTGTGCAAGAGGCAGCTGGTCGATGTTTCTCTCTCATCAATGTTTCTAGCTCTCTATCCCTCTCCCTTCCTCTCTCTAAGAAAAATCAATAAAATATGTATTTTTTTTAAAATGAGATCTTAACACCATTTATAACATTATTTCATTCTCCTTGTTACAGGATCTATCAATTTTGACTTATTCCAAATTATATTGGGTGATTATGTTTTGTTAGGTCTCAATCCTGATATTCAGGATTTTGTGTTAAAACACATAACTTGTGTTTGATTTATGCCAACTATTACTTTTTTGTATTGAATACAATTATGACTTCTTTAAAAAAAAAATTCTGTGGAATCCCTTTTATTTTTAAAAACTATTTGGTGGTCTGTTGAACTGCTTTGGAAATCTGACCTAAACAGTAGAAGAATGTTTGAGTCTTTATATTTAAAAGAATATAATTTAAAAGGATGTCTTTGTGGTATTTTAGCAGGGTAATAGTTTTTAAAGGTATCAGTAGGTTTGGGCACAATATTTTCAAAATAGAGAGATCTTTGTTAAAGGGCATTATCTTGCAGACATTTTAGAGTTCACTGGCTAAACACTTGGGAAACCTTTTTATTTTAAATTCAAGCAGGATTTTCAAAAACTTTGTTCTTATGTGGTACACAAATGAATCCCAGATATGGTATTTAGGCCACTTGGGTAAAAGAATGGAATTTTGAGCTCTAAGGGTTCCACAATGCTCTTCAAACAAATTAAATTGTATTCTAATGTTAACCAGTTAGATGAAATACCAAAAGCCTAAACTTCTCTGTGCTTTTATGCCTTGAAATACTCTCAAGACCTCTTTGTGTTTTTCTATTTCTTGAATTGTGACTGTGTATTGTGAAAAGAGAAAATTCTAATTCCACTTAGAGGTGGTGAGAGAAACCTCCCTTGAAGGCATAGGGGAATGGAGGCTGTTTTTTAAGTTGTAGCTCATGTGATGTAAGGCTGGCTTATGTTTGGCATCCAGTTGATGCAACTTGGAGGGAAATAGCAGTAGTAATAGCTTTTAGTAACATTAATTGATCAATAACAGGTGACCTAATTGATTTGAAATAGTTACATTTCTCATAAGAAAGATAAAGCTGTTAAGAGTGTTGCCTTTGTCTCTCTTTGTACCAGCAAAGAACCTCCCTTGTACAAGGTAGGCAAAGCTTTTATTTTTAATTATTTTTTAAAAAATATATTTTATTGATTTTGTACAGAGAGGAAGGGAGAGAGATAGTTAGAAACATCAATGAGAGAGTTACCGATCAGCTGCCTCTTGCACACCCCCTACTGGGGATATGCCTGCAACCAAGGTACATGCCCTTGACTGGAATCAAACCCGGGTCCCTTCAGTCCCCAAGCCGACGCTCTATCCATTGAGCCAAACCGGTTTCAGCAAGTTAGACAAAACTTTTAATAGTTGCCACTCAGATAAGATGGAATTGCTAGCCATCCGTTTTTAGCCTTGCACTGCACCTGCGTTTACATATTTTCCTCAAGATTGGCCTCAAGTTTATGAAGTCCAGTCAAGGTACTTTAAGCTGAATTATTTAAGGATGTGAAATGGGTTAAATCAAATCTTACTGCAAAACTTAAGCTGCAATTATACTTTAAACTGCAGGCGTCCTCAAACTTTTTAAAGTGGGGGCCAGATCACGGTCCCTCAGAGAGCTGGAGGGCCGGACTATATGAACTACTAATTCCCACTGTAACACCTTGGCTGCGCTCACTGCCCAAAAATCCTGGCGGGCCGGATCAGACTCCTCTGCGGGCCGCATGTGGCCCGCGGGCCGTAGTTTGAAGACGCCTGCTTTAAAGGGAGTCACATTCTGCCATATATAGGACTATTATTGTTTTTTTGTTATTTGGTCACGTTTGTGTTGTCTTAAGAAAAAACTTTTTTAAATCCATTTTTACTTTTTCATTTTCTTGATCCAGTTAACAGACTTGAGAAATAAAATGTCTCTTGTACTTTATTTCTGTCTGTATTTTTGCAGTAGTTGTG